TGATATCTACTTAAAAACAGCTAGATCTGAATGCTTTAAAATTTTAATTTATTTCACTTGGAAGGGGCAACAAGGAAGAGCAGTGTTAAATAACCTTTCCTTCAAAAATGTATTTGTGGGGGAGACTATATTATATTACACAAACACATTGTACACTTCGGGCATCCTATTCTTTTCCTTTCCTTTTTAAAAATAAACTAATTTGCTATAGTGCAGTCATTCCCTGCTTGCATTCATCCAAATATTTAACTAGTTATTACCTTTCTAAGAAAATGAGATGTGCATTTGCATTATATTCTTGCAAAAGCACACTGCAGTGCCAAAGTGATTGACAAGCAATACAATTACCTTTGCATGGCTAGACAGACCGTCTTTGCAATAACATCAGCTGCACCGGTTCAATGCATGACGGCTACTCCCTTCTCTTGTGACTGGGCCGTGGTTCATTTATCTATAGATGCAGACTAGACATTGACCCCTTCTCCCTTCCCTGCAAATCCGTTGCATCTGTTTCACGGGGCTTTCAAAACAAGTGTTTGGCTGTATTCATGGAAACCAGCATGAGACTTTGTCAGAGCTTTCTATAACCAGCTTCCATTTAGGATAGGACCTAGGAAGCTGATTTTCAGTGTTGCCTCAAATGAAAACACATGGAGGGAGTGGGGGTGTTTCATGGAGCAATGAGTCTATTAGTCTTTGGACCAGCAACAGCATCACCTGTTACTTGTTAAAAATGCAAATTCTTCGACACATACCCCGCCTTCATATCTATGGATTCAGGGCCTCTGGGCTGGGTGGGGGCCCAGCCATCTGTTTGAACAGGCCCTCCAGGTGGTTCGGATGTGCACTGAAGTTTGACCGCTGCTGCTTGCCAGAGCCGTTAAAAGTTGGGGCTGTGAAGCCAAGACCACCTGGCTGGAATCCCAGCTTAGTCACTACCTAGCTCTCTCCTCTTCAGTTTCTTTAGCCCCAAAGCGGTGACCACAATATTGTCCATCTCGAAGGGGTGCTGTGAAATTAAGTGGGATAATGAGCACAACACCCTTAGCTTACAGGCTGACACAGAGCCATCGCTCAATCAATGTAAGGACTAATAGTACTTGTACTGGTGCTATTACTTATAGCTTAGAGAGGGGCAAGGGGGGAGGAACGCACATAGCATTTTGGTGAAACCGACGCCCCCAAAGTGGCTTCATTTCACACTGCCAATGAGGACAACCATATCGGTTCCTCATTTTTTAGAGCTTCCATGAAGGTAGATCATCCAGCCTCTCATTCATTTCTCTCCAAAACGTGCAGGTGTTGCACTCGGTGAAAACAAACAATTCCTACACTGTGTGGTTTGTCACAGCAGCTAGAATTCTCGATTTCCTTTCTCAGTGAAGCCACCGCTTCCTGCGGGGTCTCCCAAAGCTGAAAGATGTGCTTCCCGCAGGGCCTCTGAGGAGCCCCGCACCCTCCAGACACTGGGCTGTTCCCTATGTCTGGCCTGCTCTTCCTGCTCTCTACCTGGCTCAGCCTTTGAGATTTCTGTGGCATTTCCTCTGGTTCTCTGCCCTCTGTTGCTAGCCCCCCTCCGTCCACTTCACTTTCAGGGTTCCATTATCCCTCTCCTCCGCAGCACCCATCACAGCTGCCATTGGCCGTTCATGCACGTGGCTTTGTGACTGAGTGCCCGCTCCCTGGGAGCTCCCCGAGGGTGGGTGTAGCGACTGGATTCACTCTCTCTGCCCTCTGAGCCTTGGCACAGTGGTAAGAATATAGGAAACAACAGCAGGGACCTAGTTTGTTTGAGCTTATCAGAATGAGGATGTTAGGCCGAATTTTCTCTTTAGTTCTCCGTCTCATAAGCGTGGGATGCCAGAGTCCCCAAGTCATTTTCCATGGCCACGTTGGAGGGCAAAGCATGGTGACTAGGTGACCGTCCTGAACAAGCATCAGGGCCTGCCTTGCCTCACTCTGGGAGCTGTTGGCCCAAATCGGCTCGGCAGGAAGCACACAGCCTGCCCCAGGGCACAAGGACCTGTCCTGGTGAAAGAAGGGGCCTCTTTCCCAATGTCCACACTGTGTGTCCACTGGGACAGGCCTCAAGGTCCAGCCTCGCTCCCTCACAGGCAGACCTCGCTTTGTCGTCTCCCTTTATTGCATTTCACACATGTTGCATTTTTTTACAAGTTGAAGTGAAGACGCTTCCCAACAAAGCAATTACGCCTCTTTAAGTGACACTCGCTTTGTTGCAGTGTCTGGAACTGAGCCGCAGTCCCTCCGAGGGGTGCCTGTGTTTCCAGAAGAGCAGACACAGACTGGGTCCTCTACAGATAGTTAGAAAAAAAGCATTATCCCTCATGTTTGTATATGAATGCATTAATATTCACGGCTGGATCACGTTCTGTCCAGCCTCTTTCTCTGGTCTCCTATGCCAGGGTCCAGTTTTTTAATCCTATTCACCTTCTCCTCATCCACTGGCAACAGTCATTGGTGCTGTGTAACCAGATCAGAAACAAACTTAAAGCTGTAGGATGTGTCTTCCTAATTCACTAAGTCAACCTGGAGTTGCTAAGCCAATTAATTACTCTGTGCCATCTTCTGTCACCTCCCCTTTAAGATATGGCAGTATTCAGTCAGTAGGCATTTATTTTACAGCTCTTGGGTAGAAAGCAACATGTTCAGCCATAAGCAGGATAGAATGTGGAGTAAAGCTAATTGGGTGCAACTTCAATGTGGAATGAGGCCCATACACAAGTACATTTAATATTTGACCAATATATAAAATTATTTTACCGAGTGAGGAGCAAAAAATGTGAGGTTGGCATTTAGAGGAGGGAGAAATAGCTCCGCTGTGGGTGAGCATTGGATACAGGTCATAGCAATGGTGATGTTCAGTTAGAGCTGTGATGTCAAGCATTTGACCCATTTCTTTGTAGCAGATCTCACTGGCTCCTCCCTTGAGGTGCCTCTTTCCCCATTTTACAGATGAGTAACTGAAGCTCAGGTAACTTGAATAAGGAGTCCAGTGGGCGAGGCTGAAATTTGACCCAGATGCCACTGTGGTCCCCGTCTAACTTGGCTCTTGAATGGTGTATCTGCTTTTGGGGAGGATGTTGGCAGAAAAGCCATTCCCAGCGCAAGGAACAGCATGTGCAAAGGCATGATGGCATGAAAAAATGGGACAGAAGCTGTTTTGCTACGGCTAAATGATCCGCTCTGTGGTTCTGGGCCCAAACTAAATATTTGTTGCTCTTCCCTGTTGCGTCAGATCTGTTCTGCGTCCTGTTGGCAGAGGCTGGCCCTGCCTTCTGACCCTCAGCAGACACTATCTTCTTCTGTTGGAAACGCTGACAGAATCCAAAGCCTAGCTCGGGATGCGCACACCTCAGCATCTGGGATTAGGGTTTTGTGCTGCTTGACAAGTGCTCTCATGAACTGTAGCCCTTTTGATCAAAATGAAAACAGCTTAAAGCGATTCTCACCAACCTCCTTAGCGTGCGAAATCCCTGCCTCCTTTTTAAGGATAATGGTACTTGGGGTTTCGCCGGTCAACTCTGAAAAGCTCTGAGAAGCACACTACAGTGTTCTCCAGCAAACCAGTGTCACTGCTGTGTGTGCGTGTGGGTGTGTGTTGTGAAGTGCTCTCCTTTGGCTCAATTTGCTCGGCTTACCTGCAGTTCCACCCTGCCACCGAACCTGCTGGAAACCTTTGGTAATCAAAGTTGTGCTTTTGTTCAAACCACAGCTCCATTCAATGATGGGGCTCATTGGTCCTTTGCCAGACTCATAAATAATGTGTAAACTCCATGGGGAGATATTAGGGAAGGTTATTAATTACACTACCATCCTTTGGAAAACATGCATGTAGAAACACGTGTTTTTATATTCAAGGTCATCCCGTGACCCTCACGAAGCCTATGAAATGTGCAAGCTGCCTAAGAACCTCATTAAACCCATTTTAATACTTAGGAATTTTAAGTCAGTTTCCCATGATGGTGGAACTGTGAGCTTCTTTTCCTGGCTGTTTCACTCAAGGTATACCAAGACATTTCTGGAGAATTCCAGGATCTCTTGTTCTCCCCTTCCTGTGAGGTCCCTTGTCTCTGGGATGCCTATATGCACAGTGATCAGAGAGATGCTCGAGGCCAGGCTATTCAGTCATAATGTGGGGCTTTCCTTAGTCTGGGTATAATTTACACAAACATGTCCACACAGAAACATGCATGTGCATGTACATGTATGAGTGCACATAAGCAGATTCCCAGCACACTACTACACACATTAAAAAAGTGATATACATTCATGTACATATGCATACATGGGCAAGGTATACACATGAACACATGTGTGCACATGTATGAATTGGCATATACACAATAACACACATATATGCATTCACACACACACCCAAAATACATATTTTGCACCCACATATACACATTTATACCCATAAATGCACACAAACACACACATATTTTTTCACACACATACAGGGAATTATCAGATATAATACCACCGTGTGAAAGAATACAGAAGAACATTTCTGGAATCATCTGTATTGTCCAGCTCCCCTAAGGTCATCCAGCTATAACTGTATTGAGAATGTAACAATCTGGGCCCTCCACCCTTATCAATCATGTATTTTAAGGGGATGATTTCCTCCCCGGAGCAGGGGGACTATACAGTTTGACTGTGAACTCCGACTCTTGTATCTGTCTAGGCCACTTGAAATAAACCTCAGCCCTGCCTGCACTTCTACACCCCTCCTGAGAGGGAGGGAAGTCTGGTACTCTCACCACCAGGTCCTGATTGTGGGCCACCCTGAACCAGCCTAATTTTCTCAGCCTGCCCGCCTCCTGTTGTCTCCAACCTCCTTAACCAAAGCGGAACTCTCTTCAGTTCCTGTGTTTTGGATCTCGTGACCAGACTAACTTCGCCAGTGCGGGGGTGGTGTGTCTGCATGGGGAAACGCACTAATATGGATGTTTCTCTTTGTGTGTGCACCCTTGCAGTGTTGTTTACCAGGATGGATTTTATGGTGCAGACATTTATGTAAGTATTCATTACTGTGCATGCCATCCACGTTTCCTCCCGGAGACATTCTTTCTACAAGTTTGCTGAGAATCTCTCTACTGTGCGGTGCTGTCCATTCCCTCTTCGTGGGCCCTGGGAGAGACTTGGGCTCACATGCAGCAGAACTGCTGCTCCTGAGAGCATCCCACGCTGTGAGCGAGTGGAATCAATGCCCTGACCAACCTCAGAATAAATGCAAACACCGCCCGCCTCCAAAGATTGATTGCATCTCATGTCAAATTAAGACCAGCCCCCCAGCCCCTCCCAAAAAAACACCCCAAAACAAACACACACACACACAAAAACAGAAATTCTCTCTAAAGTTTTCAGTATGGTCTGTGTATTTTCAGTTTACTATTTAGGACAACAGCTATAGATACCAAGGGTTAAAAGACATTTTCATGGCTGATGTTTTCTTATAAATATATTTGTTTATCACAAAGCCCTAGAAAAATATTTCCCTCTCTCACTAACAAAAATGGGCCAACTGGAGCATTAAAAAACCAATTTCTTCAACCCCTATTTCTTCATGTCCCCAGAACAGCTCCCTAACTTAGAATTGTTTGTTAAATGTAGGATTGTTGGTTAAATGGTATCACTTTGTTAAGCTGGTTTTAGAAAAGTGTTTCTCATTATGGGGATCATAATTAAACTTACCTAAGTTGATCTAAAATTAGTTATTCTCCTTCATTGTGATATTAGCAGCAATTTTATGAAAATAACTTGGAATAAACACAATTTAAAATAAATTGGCAGGAATAGAGGGTATTTTCTAAGTTATATACTTTTTTATTACAAGTGACCTAAAGTAATTTTGCTGCAATCATACTTGTTTTATAGACCAGATAACAAAGAAAAATAAAACCACATTTCTGATCAAATTGATGTCATTTACTATAAAATGGGAAAGACACTGGTTATTTAATTTCTTCCCTTTGAATTTCAAATAATTACAATTTTGAGACATAGTATTAGTCTCCATCAGTGATGAACTTAGTTGAGTTCTATTATAATTGCATCAAGTACATTTATTATAATCTGCGAGTTAGCTCTTTTCCATAATAATACTTATTAATGATTTACATGTTCTTTATGCACCCAGTGAACAACCAACTTTCTTTTTTGTGTTGCCTGATTTACTCCTTCGCACGTCTTTTTCCCCCAGACTTTCTGTTTATGCCATTTTAAATAGAAGGGCAGGCGGAGGCTGAGCAGGCTGGGCCTCATCCATACCCTTAGATACCCAGTGAACCCATCAGTCTACACACTCCCCATTGTAGCCTCTGGGTAGCATAAGCACATGCAGGAACGATAGCTGGCATAATTAACTTTAGGTCTTTATTTATTTACTTATTTTAAATTTTGATTTGAGAGAGAGAGGAAGGGAGAGGGAGAGAGACAGAGAAGCATTGATGAGAGAGAGAAACATTGATTGAGCCACCTCCTGATCGCTAGCTACCCACTGGGGACTGAGCCTTCAACCCCACATGTGCCCAGATTTGGAATTGAATTGGCAACCTCTTGGTGCATGGGTCTACACTCAACCAAACGGGCCATACTGGCCAAAGCAGGGCTTTTTTTAAATTTGTGAAATGAAAGGGAGTAGAGAAAGGATCAATAAATTTTAAAAAGAAAAAGAAAAAAATCCATCAAAAAGAGAACTATCTTCATCTACACCTACCTCAGGGGAGAACAATGTGGATGTTATATAAGCTTATTATTATAATATTAGTTATCATTTATTAGTTCACCTCTCTGTAAAATGACAATAATTTGTTGCATTAACCCTAATAAATAATTGAATTATTCATTGAAACTATTCTATGGAGATTTCAAATTAGCATCTTTCTCTTGCTTCATAGATTTTTGTATAGAAGGAAGTAGAAGCTGCCTGAAGGCATGGCTGTTAAAGTCCACAAACAAAGAAATAGAATGACTAGTGAGAGTAACTGATGTGTGTAGATCTGTATTGGTTGGGATAAAGGAAAATCCCTAAGAATGAGGCAAATGGAAAGAGCAGAGAAAGTTGGAAGAGGGACAATACACCAACATCCACTCTAAGGTAGAAAGAGAAATTCCGTTGAGGAAGGAAAGCTCCAGAAAAATCCTTTTGAGTTTTTTGGTTCCTTTAAGAGCGTTTGTTTCCCACAAATTCATCATATTTGGGCAAAGAACACCAGGCTCAGTGGAACAGCCCCTGCAGGTATCTGAGTGAGGTATAGATGAAAGGAGTTATTTCAGTAACTTCAAGTCCTGGGTTTTCTGGTTTCTAGGTTTAGAAAACTATTCCACCCTAGCTGGTTTGCTCAGTGGATAGAACGTTGGCCTGCGGACTAAGGGGTTCCATTACAGTCAAGGGGTTGTGGGCACGTGCAGGGGTTGTGGGCACGATTCCCAGTAGGGGGCATGCAGGAGGCAGCCAGTCAATGATTCTCGCTCATCATAGATGTTTCCATCTCTCTCTCTCTCCCCCTTCCTCTCTGAAAGCAATTTTAAAAAAATTAAGATTTAAGTTAGAAAACTATTCCTCTCACTCTTTTCAAGCCACCCTAGTAGCCAAAAAAAATGTATGCATTTTCCTATTATAGTGCCAGTAAGATTTTTTAGGGAGAGGGGGGCATTCCAATTAGACAATTAGCTGATGGAAGACCTAGCTTAAATATTTGTTTACCCAGCACATTTCTCTGTCCTCTTTTCCAGAAGGTAGCCCAGACCTTGCAGACCTTCCTGAAATTTTTTGTTCTGTATAAGATGGCAATTCTGGAATACTGCTGCTGGGTGGTGTGTGTACATGAGCGATAGTGGTGAACTGGTCCCTACCCCGTTATGGCAGCAAAGCAAGTGTTCATGGTTGGCCTTAAGTTGACTTAAGGGCGAGAAAAAATAGGGGTATTTCCTGCACTCTAGAATTTATGAAGCAGGATTCATCCTGGCTAGAAGTAATTTTGAATATGCTTTTTCAAGCTGCTATCCCACCTCCCTTGAGATGCTGGTATGTCCTGATGAGTGGACGTGTCCCCAGGGCTCCATTTATTAAAGAAATGATGATGAAAGAGGTTAGTGAAGCACGTGAGGTTCTGTTCTATTTAAAGGAAGTTTCTGGCTTGCTCCTTCCATCTTGTTAGAAATAGTGCACAATAAATAGATTTAAGGCAATCCTGAGAGGACCTGGGACATGTGTTGGACACTTTACTCACTTCTAATAGATTTAAAGCAGTTATTTCTTTGTAATTTAATTGGGAGAGGAGCAAGCTTCTAGCTTTGGTTACTTTTAAGAGCTAAGGGGAATCTGCTCTCCAGTTCTTCCTGCTCAGACGTCCTCAGCGTTGGCAGCATATCAGCAACTCAACAGCAAGGATAGCAGCTCCTACACCAGAATGACTGCCCTTTTCTGTGCACCCCACTTTCCCCTGCCCCTTCTCCTCTTTGTTGTTCAAGGTCTTTCCATCCCTCCCACCATATATGGGAGCCCTCGGGTGTTTCTGATTTGAGAGACCTGCAGGACCCCTGCCAACTGGCAAGCAACAGCCTCCTTCTTCACCTTTCAGAGCAGACAGGATTGGGGAGAAAGGGAGAGATGTTCAGAGATGCCAGAGATGCTGGGAGCTAAGGCAAACACCAGGGAAGTGTGTATAGTCTGAGGGCAAAGAAAAAAGCATCCTATGCAGGAGCCCAGCCAAGCAGGAGAAACACTGCCTCTCACCACACAGGACATGTTCAGGCCCAGTGTGAATGCCACTCCTCAGAGAGGAAGTAGGGATTTCTGAGTCAGAAAGGAGGCTAGAAAAGTTCACATCTGGGTCACTTCCACCTGGGAACATACCCCCCCCCCACACACACACATACACACACACATGCATACACACACACTTTTATGTCAAAAGATGAGAATTTAGTTTACATAGCTAGCTTATCAAATCTAATAGTTCAGTGTTATTACTTAGTGGTAGACATTTAAATCAGTGCTTCTAAATTAAAAAGTGGGTCAAGTTAAAGGAAAAATCAGTAACAGCAGAGGTGACACATGGGTATGACAGTGGTTAGAAAGATGAAGTGGGAAGACCAAGTTGCCTGGACCTGAGATATCATCCGTCACACTTAAGGGCGGAGCTATAGCCTTCATGAAGCCAGAATTGGTCAGGGAGTTGGAAATAAGTGTTGCTTAAGCGATCTTAGCCAAGACACTTACCTTAATCCATGCAGGCAGATATCAAAGGAAGGGGCATTTGATCAAAGGGTAACTATGGAAAATGGAAAGAAGGAAATGACAACAGAGCTATCAAAAGGAATTGACTGGGAACTGGAGTAAGAGAGTGGAGTTGCAGTGGAAGAAGAGGAGTGAAGAATGGGAAGGAGATAGCATTTCACCATGAATCTCTCTCTCTCTCTCTCTCTCTCCCTCCTCCTCTCCCTCTCCATATATATATTCCCCCAAAATTATAAAGGCAGCGCTTATTAAAATACATTTCATTTTTCAAAATTGAGCTACCAGCTGTTACAGGATGTATACATTTTGGGGGACCACTTTGTATATATACATCTTTACAAGGCAGATCCCTAAAACTCTTAAAATATTCACCTGGAGGTCTGCCCTAGGACTGGAAATTTCACTTCAAACTAGAACCACACATGAAAGATTAGCCACATCCATGACTCACTCTCCCATCCACAAATCAACTCCATCTGTCCCTTGGTTCTTTTGAGATCTTGTCAGTGTTACACTTGCATGAAGTAATAACAAGTTAACAACACGTATATATTTTCTAGACCCATGCGCATGTACACACACACATCATTTTTCTAGTCATATCTCTACAAAGTAGCTTTGGTAGCTTCATGTGCTTCATTAATTTATGAAATACAATTGTGCTTTTTGATGTTAGTAGAAATTAAATTTAAGAAACACAGGTGTTGATACAGTTATGGTTGCTACTGTACTGTCACCTTAACTGCCTCAATAATTAGTCATCGAAGTTAAA